GAGAAGGCTTTGGGTGACCTAATTGTGGCCTTCCAGGACCTGAAGGGAGCCTACAACAAAAACAGAGAGGGACTTTTTACGAGAGCATGTGTTGACAGGACAAGGGGGAATGGCTACAAACTGAAAGAGAATACGTTTAGATTAGATATTAGGAAGAAATTTACTATGGGGGTGGTGAGACACTGGAACAGGTTGCCCAGAGAAGGTATGGATGCCCCATCCCCCGAATTTTCACGGGCAGGTCAGATGGGTCTTTGAGCAATCTGGTCTAGTGGAAGGTATCCCTGCCCATGGCAGAGGGTTGGAACTAGATGAACGTTAGGGTCCCTTCTAACCCAAGCCATTCTATGATTCTATGATTCTATGATTCTATTATTCTATGAAACTTAGTCTTGAATCAAAAAATAAAGGAATCTTTCATCAAGATGTGATGATGGATTCTGTGTTACCATCAAACCAGGTGTTTTTCTGAAAGATATAATCTAGTGGTAACAATATTCCCCTCAAGGAATGCCTTCAGAGCAATCCTATGACCTGCCTTATTCTGGAGGTTACATTGCCATCTGTTATTCTGGTCTTATCATAAAGAAATTATGAAAGTCATATTCATGAATAATGACCAGGTTGGCGTTACTTAAATGATGCTTGGGTTTCAGTGCTGAGCACAGTAAAATCCGTGTAACAGTTGCTGGGCGCTCCACATTTCACAACCAAGTAAGATATTTCATCTATGTCCACCTAATTTTTTAATACTTTGACCTTAATCTCTAAAAACATTGATTCTACAAATACAGCTTGCAAATTCCATGATGATTAAAAAGAGACAGAGTCTTTCCCCAAAAGTTACTTAAGGCTTCATCTTCCCAACTACTTAATACTGAGGAAAGGGAAACATGCCAGGTGTAACTCAGCCTTTTCTTCCATGGAGAGGGGTTAAGCACAGGCAGGAATGTGGCCACAGAGTGTGTGCTGTCATACGTCTGTGGGGACATATGGGAGCAAGAGTGCACCAGAATGTGTTGTCACATTTCTCCACTTCTCTGAGTGCACTATCAAAAAAATAAAATTGTTATTGAGTCATCATAACTGCTTGCCTTGGTTGGATGTTTATATGATTGCAAGAATCTGTGCCTAACAGAGCTATTTTTCAAGTTTTTGACAAATCTAGGCTGATACCTCCACAACACTCAAATTTCTGGTATCTTGGGAAGCTTCCCTGTGGAGGCACAAGATTCAGCACCTTTTTAATAAAAATGGAATTATGAAGTGAGATTTGAGATTGGACATGTGAAATATACAGTTTTAGGCCTGGTGTTTAAACGTCATGTTATTTCATCTCAGTTCTGGTTCTTTGTTCATATTTTGGTCTTGACATACTGCTAAAATGCTCCCACTAGATTTTTTTCTGCATGTTTAGGTCTTGAAGAGCACGATGTTATGGAGAACTACATAACTTGTAAAGTCCCCTCTGTTTGCGCATACACATATAATACACGGGCTAGGAGATTTTGAGGGTACAAAGCCCTATCCCTTCCTAGACAGAAATGACTGCTTGGAGAGAGAGAGAAAGAGGGACTGTTCTAAAAGCTGTCTTGGGATCTTTGCCATAATATTTTGGGGTTTAACTTTCATTAAGATCTGTATGTGTAGCCCTATCAAATTCCACGTGAAAATTTCTGTGTAGGTCCAAACTTCTCTTCCTTAAAACAAATGAAATCTATTTTCTTTTCCTTTGTACTCTTACTGCTTGTGGGAGCAGGTGGCATAACAACTACATTTTCTGAATAACCTAGCTGCTGCTTAAGCTGTTTAACCACTTAAAAATTGTGTTTTCTTTAACATTTGTAAGAAAACAGTCCATTTAAAAATTATTTGTATTTTTCTTTATAAGGATTTGCATTTAATCTTTAAAATATGCAGAAAAACATTCCAAAATTGAGTTAATTAAAGTCTTTTCAATTACTTCTGAGGTCTGCGTAGTTATAACATTTTTTCCTTAATACATGAATATGGAGCTGTCTGAAGAAAATATGGCATTGGGAAACTTGCAAAAAAGGAGACAAATGACAGCTTTGCCTGGGCTCCCTAAACAGAAGTTGCTCTCTAACAGCTATTTATCCACTGTCTTAGGAGTTAAAAGGCGCCAGCCCAAAAGCTGGAGGTGATGTCCCCTGGCAAATGTGCGTAGGTTTGATTTGCACCACATGAGTGCAGCTTGTCACATAAATGCATACATGTCAAAGATGTTGGGCAGGATGGGAGACCTGAGGGTTGCATTTCTGCATTCATGCAGATTGTTGCTGCTGTGGTATACTTCCCTCATAGCTGGTGTAAGGCCTCACGTGGAAAATGGAAATCAGGGGTCTCGTTAGCGTGGTAGCAGTTACCCATGGCAAAGGCTATGTAATGTTCCCTCCATATACATTCCTGTTCCTGTGGCAGCCAGTTCTCCTGAAGGCAAAGCAGCGAAGGTATGTTCAGGGTCCTGAGGCTGATCGCCACTCAGCAGGGAAGCTGATGGCAGCTCATCCATGGCAGAGTGTACTTGGCATCCACAGTATGGGATGCCCACAGGGTGGGTTCACCTAGGCAGTGCCATGGAGAGCAGTGGAAGCTGTGGATGGATAAGTGCTACCAACAGCTTGTCTGTCTGTGCTCACCTTTTTGTGTTTGCTGGTAGATTCATTTATCATGTATTCCAACAGGGGGATCATGCTACCAGCTGCCTGAGGTGCAGTGGTTAGTATGGGTTGGGCCAGTCTGTTAATAAGTGATTGCTTGAGACTTGCTCATTGCTCTCTCATCTGCATGGTGCTGGAGCAGAGGCAGGTTCTGTCAAATAACTTACCCATTTACGTTACAAAAGCCAGTTATTGAAGAGTGAGAAGTGCCCCAGTGCACAAGGTGCTGAATGGGCTGCATGGAGCAGGGCTTGACCCAGACACAGACTTGGCAAAGCAGCCTGACCTCTAGCTCTGTCCAGCCAGCCCTGTGAGGGTCACCATTGCACCAGCTCGTCATACATCCCTTCTGAGCATTTAAGGAAAGCACACAGTCCTGATCCATAACTCAGACTGAGACAACCTGCTCACATACAAAGTGATGTGAGCCCTGTTAACTGCATCTGGCATAGGATGTGGATGTCCACACCAGGACCAAACATACAAACTCCAGGAGAGGAAAGGTTTTGGAGACACAGAATTTTGCAGAGACAAATTGACTTGGCTTGTAGCTGCCTTGGTTTGCTGGGGCTTTGTGCCCCCAGAGCCAGCCTCAGCATGCTGCTGGAGTGACCCCCCAAGACCCTGCCTGGCATCGCTTGGCTCCAGCAGGGCGTGCAGGGCAGTTGCCCTAATGCTGGGCTGACACTCATCCATCAGGTAAAGTGGGAGACTGCCAGTGTGTGGGAAGCCGTTAGCCTGCAGGATTGCATTGAACCTCCCTTCCCAGGCAGTGCTGTTCTTTCACTCGTAAGGATTACGCTGTTTTGTCCACTTTCTACTGAGCTCACTGCAGACTGAGCTTCCTGAGGGGAGAAAAAATAAAAATACTGTCAAGTACCCTGTTTTCTTATTCTTATCTCATATTTAGTTTCCTAATTGCAGCTTGGAAATAAAATATCCTTCCTGCTAATTTTATTCTTTTGTATTTGGGAAATGCTGCCAAGTCTGACGACGTCTTTCTTCCAAAGATGCACTGTTAAGAAGTTTTTTCCCTGCTTCACAATTACAAAACTGTTAAGAAGCATTGGAGTCTGGAGAAACATTCATTTTGTGTGTGCCAGTGAAGCAGTGCTTATTAGCTCTAGCTTAATTTAAATCTGTCTGCAGCAGAGGGATGGGTTTATTTACACATTTCATAATAATGATTTGAATCTAAAAGTTATTTATGCAATGGATTGTAAGGTCTTTGAGTGGATTTTCCCAAAAGCAGCTAAAGAGGTTAGGTATCAGTGTTCAGTAGAAGCTAGGGGCTGCATCTTCTACACTCTCAGTTTAGGGGACTTCTCATTTTCAAACAAAGACTACTTACTGGTTCCTGTTTAATGCCACACTGGAAGGGTTTTTTGCTTGGAAAATATCAATACCAATGTAAAATTCAAGGAGTTTTTGAAGAGAATGTATTGCCATCACATACAAGGAAGAAACAGGTTGGGACGCTGTGAGGCTTTGATCAGTACTGTGAGACCCAGAGGCTGCTCCTACAGAGATCACTTAGCCTACAGGCTCAGGAAGATATAATTAGGAGGGTAAATGGAAAATTAATGTTTCGTTGTGCAAAAAATGTTCCCTTTTGTATAGAAATAAAGAAATAAATCAAGATGTGAAGCTCTTCAAGCTTCTGAGGTAATCAAGCCATGAACAGCTTCCCCATGTCTTGCAAAGCCTATCCCCCATTGTCCTTGTGCTCTTGGCTGTGGGACTGACTTGAGCTTTGCCTCCTCCCCGAACTGCTCATTGCTTCTAGAAGAATGTGGGAAGGAAGGGAGGCCAAGAAGCACTTTGCAAACTGCCACTGAAGGGCCCAGAGTAGTCTCTGCTGTACTGACACCACGAGTGGCCAAGGTGCACTAAAACTATATCAGATCTTTTGCAGTGAGTGAGCTCTGAGATGAGACTGATGGGAATGGCTCTGTACTATTAGAAACTTGGTGCTAAACTATGGAGTTGGGAAAACAAAAATGAGAATTCACTTTTAACACAAAATAGAGCTTCCTGGGATCATTATAGTTACAATGGCACTGCCTTGCTAAACTCTCAGAGCTGGAGAAATCTATTCTTTTTTTCTTTCCGGTGTTATAAGACAGATTGTGTCTGCTCCTAAATAATGAAATCAGTCAAGTTCCACACAACATAAGACATTTGAAAATGTTGCTATAAATGTGCAGAGGTTGTGCATTTCTCAGTTAAAACAGATTCTTTCAAATTATTCTTTCTCCAACTCTTCCCCCTTAACAAATGTGCAGTTAATCACAGAGTGAAATCTCTTTCCCCCTGTAGATTGTGTTCCGGAAAATCAGCGACGTCAAACGTGAAGAGGAGGAGAGGATGAAGAGGAAAAACGAGGCACCCCTGATATTACCCCCAGACCACCCAGTTCGCCGGCTGTTCCAGAGGTTCAGGCAGCAGAAGGAAGCGCGGCTTGCAGCAGAGAGGGGCCGAGATCCAGACGACCTGGATGTGGAAAAGGGCAATGCTTTAGGGGAGCAATCCTCTGCTCGCTCAGTGGTCAAAGCCAGCGTAGTGACTGTACGGGAGAGTCCGGCTACCCCTGTGTCGTACCAGCCCGCTTCGACCTCTGGGACCTCTGACCAGGCAAAGCTGCAGGCCCCAACATCGGACCACGCAGGGTGTAAGGCCTCAGGGGACTACCCCCGACGAAAAGGCTGGGCCAAATTCAAAGAAGCCTGTGGGAAAGGTGAAGACTGGAACAAGGTCTCTAAAGCAGAGTCCATGGAGACTTTACCAGAGAGAACTAAAGCTTCAGGAGAAGCTACCCTGAAGAAGACAGACTCTTGTGATAGTGGCATTACAAAAAGTGACTTGCGCTTGGATAACGCTGGGGAGACAAGAAGCCCACAGGACCACAGTCCGGTCCTCACCGAGGTCAAGCACTCCTTTTATCCCATCCCAGAACAGACTCTTCAGGCCACCATGCTAGAAGTGAAACATGAGTTGAAAGAGGACATCAAGGCTTTAAACACAAAAATGACCAATATAGAAAACCAGCTTGCTGAGATACTTAGGATATTAACCTCAAGAAGAAGCTCCCAGTCGCCACAGGAGTTGTTTGAAATATCAAGGCCCCAGTCTCCAGAATCAGAAAAAGACATGTTTGGAGCTAGCTGAGGTGTTTCTTTTAAAAAACAAACAAACAAACCAATAAACAAAGAAACAGCCCCCTAACACTTTACATTTAACCTTTCTAGAAAATGAGTGAGGGGCCAGTTCACTAAGCATGTTCCCTCTGTCTAAAAAGGTATGGTAACAGGAATTGCAACCTCATGTCAAGATGGCAGCTGACTTTGAAGCCTTTTTGACAGCAAGGGTACAGTTTCTGAAGTTTTTATTTTCTCCCTTGGTGCCCATTCCCCCTGACTCCCCCTCTCTCCCTCAGGATGTTGGAATAAGGATTCTGACAGCAGCAGCCATTGCTGTGAGCCCCAGGTGACCTCTGAGGTTTTTGGAGCATGCCTTACGTCCTTCGCTTGGGTTTTGCCTATATGAATAAGCACTTGCCAGGGTGCTTGTATTTTCAGCATTTGGTGGGTTGTTTGTTTTTTGGGTTTTTTTGTTGCTGCTGCTGTCACTTTCTCAGTCACCGGTACAGCATGTTTGATGTCACAGTATATTTTCATATATCTGTAATAATGCAAAGAGCAGTAGCAGACGTATTCTACGTCAATCGATTGTGTGCTATTCGGTACTGAAGTTTCTTTTGGGTAGTCAAGGAAGGGCTAATAAGACAAAAAAAAAGGTATTTTTTAATTGCAAACTGACATATTGCTAAAGCAATTACATTTAGCAACATCTTCAAAAATAGCCACAGTATTTCAGATCTGTTAATAAATGGGAACTTCCACACTCTCATTTACTGGATCAAGGATACTGATTTTTCAGCAACATAACTTCTGTCTCAGATGTCTTTCAACATTTGTTTCTTTTGCTTTTAACTCCAGTTGCTGGAGGCCAGAGAGTTGGGTGTGCAGCGTACCTGAGTGCAGCCCACTGCACAATGTATTGTGAACATCACTAACAGGTCCTGCAGATTTGCCTCCTGATGGAAATATGCTGTGGCATTTATGTCCCGGTTTTGCTAAGAATCTGCTCTTTTAATTCTTGTTAAATTATTATTCAGAACTTTCTGTTTTGATAACGTTCATTGTAGCCAAAGGCTTTCACAGAATTTTTTAAGATTGTGGCATTTTCCTCTACATCCAGATGTATTGTTCCTGATCTAATCTAGCTAGGAAGCAAATGGATAGTAGAAGTAGAAATACAGTGCTTACTGTATGCAAGTGCTATTGTAGCAAGGAAACAAAGAGATCTGCTTCTTAAAGAAGGAGATGTTTCCAAAACTTATATTTTCATAACTTTTTTTGGAGAATGATTGAAGCACTTTACCAAAACTACTCTTCATTATTCATATAGGGTAGCATATCATGACTTGGGTTCTCACCTTGGATTATAGGTGTATATTCACAGTATATTCACTCCACTGATCTGGTATGTTCACTGCTTAACAGTAGATTAGAGTTCAGAAGTATGGTGCCACACTTTTACGGGTTTTTATTTTTAATGGCAATAGGTCTTAACACTGTGTGTGTTGAGGCTCATTCTTTTTCCATGGTACTAAGTCATTTACAAAGAAACACATGATTTTTTGGGGGGAAGATTTTGTTTGTGTACGGAAGAGGCAAGGAAAATGACCACTTTAAAGGATTTCTGCTGGCCTAATGCTTGCACGGTGCAATGCAGAACTGTGTCAGACATCCCTGGGGAAGTGTGAGGTCCACTGCTGACTGGCACAGTGGTGAGGCCATGCTGTGCAAAGCTACCAGCTCAGGTCACGTGGTCAGTGTATTTATACCTGCAGTAACTGCCCTTGCTCTCAAAGATGCTGATTATTCCAAGTGCAGCACCACCATTTACAAGTCCAGAGGCAGATGGTTTAGGATTGACTTTCAAGGATCTTACACCTTGGTTCAATATGGAAGTGCCCACAGACTGTGAATTCTTATCCAAGGACTGAAACATTCCTGAGAAACAACTCTCAGGATCAAATCTGTAGGTTACCTTCTTCCCTCCCACAACAAAAGGCAATAGGGAGGTGAGTTGCTCTGAAACTAAGATACCATTTCCTTAATTTATTTTTGATTCCATCTTTAGGTTTTTCCAGTGGTAGCTGGTGTCTTTTACAGTTGTGCACTGCACACCTGCAGCGCTGAGGAAGTCTCTCTTTGATCAAAGGCATGCTGTGTGTTTGGTGCGTTAACCACTGTAAGCGGCAGCAGTTACCTGCAACAGCTATGGCATGGCTGCTGTAAGAAACCCATATATCCATGGTTTCAGTTAGAAACTGTTGAATGATTTTTTTTTTTTAGTCTCCTTTGTCAGTAAATTCCACCTAAGTAAACCCCAGGTGTACTGATATATAAGGATTTGTAATTGATTTCCAAAAGTTCCAGCAAGTTTTTAGAGACTGCTTTGGAGTCAGTTTTCTGATCCAGGCAAATTTCTCACCAGCATGATGTTCTTGACACTTGATTTGCTTCATAAAATTTTTAAAAGGCTGAAAGTCTTAGCAAGTCCTTTGTGAAAGTGTCATCCATTTACCTGCAGTTGGATAAACATGGACATTAGCTTATCCCAGGTGGACGAGGGAGGAAATATTTACAACCTCCTAAGTATGTGCCTGCTATTTTCAGAATGGCAGTGCGGACGTAGAGTTAAATATGCAACTGCAGGTTACCTGGCCCTTTGTTGCTGATACTGAATTGATGTTTCTCGGTGATATTTTTGTGTGCCCTCAGGGATATGCTAAAGGTTATTCTGGTGTTGCCTATTGCCCAGCCTGGAATCTTGGCGGGACCAGCCCTAGAAGTCCCATAATTATAATAATAATCCATTCCTGTGAACAAAGGCAGACAACTGCCAATTTTGTAAGGGTGCTCCTTGTGTAGCCTGATACTCAGTATGATACTGAACTGCTGCACACCCCATGTGACAGTGGGTGGGCACAGCACCAAGTCCTTTGCCAAGGTTTTTTTCAGACTCTTACAATGGCCTATAAAGTCATTTATTATCCATTTGTAAAGACTCTAAAAATTGTAACATACTCCTGAATTCCACTGAAAATTTCATGTCTTTGAAGATTATGGCCAAATTTAATTTTGTTGTGGCCATGAAACTGCAGAGAAACTCTGTTCCTTACAATGACACCTTCAGGGTGTCTGCTCCATGTCAGCCCTAAGAGTGGTCAATGTCACTCAGATTTGTACAGCTGTAACTGAGATTAGACCCATTTTTATGAACTGTCAGGCACTAAAACTAGTGGTAGGAGCGTGCATCATCTCTTAGTAACTTGTATTTGTTGCAAGAGAATTAAAAAAAAAATGCTATCTAGGATGAGCTTTGATCTTTGGATTCCCTGGACTACTGAGTGGTTAAAAAAAATGAACAAATCCATGCCCACTTTGGGACTAGTCACTCCTTTGAACCTTAGACTAGTTTTGACCTGTGCTGTGGTGCCCAGGCACTGCTGATGCGACACTTTTCCTTTAAAGAGTGGCTGAAAGCACCTGTGTTACAAATCTGTCTTTCTCCACTGAGCCTTACACTCAGATGCCTGTGGCTGGACAGCATGTGTACCCACTATAATTGTTACTTGTTCTTCCATTTTATTTGTCAGTCTTTTCTTTTTCTCTTGTTTCTCTGTACATGGTGGTTAAGTCTTTTCACCTAAATTACATTCCAGCTTAGAAATGAAGGATCTCTGAACATAAGAATCTGCCCCTTCACAAGCAAATGCTTGTACATACTATAAGAAAAAAACCCAAAGCCTCAGTTTTAACTGTTCTGGCACAGTGCTTCTGCCATTTAACAATCTGCTAAATAACCTGCACCATTCTAAAAGAGATACTGTGTTCCATTTTGATATATGGTGTAATTAAATTTCAGTCAAAAGAAGGTAGTTCAGAGAAAGAGCCTGGGTTATGATTTGGTAAAAGGGGAACTTTCTGAAAGTGCATGCTTGAATGGTGAGAAAGAATACCAATACGCAGCACAAAAAAAGGATTAAAAAAGCAAAACCCAGCCCTCACCCCTGCCATGTTCAGATACATTTACTTCTGTCTGGTATTACATGTATACTTTTAAAAACATCATTCTTGCTTTAAATCTCTTTCACAGTGCTGCCCTGAATCCCAGCGAACACCCTGTTTAACAGCTTGGAAGGTGATGTTCTGTTTCTACAGTACTTCCCTTTAATGAACTGAACAAGATATTTACTGCGACTATCTGGTGATATATATTTTCAATCACTCTTAACCAATCTGTGAAAAAATTTAGTACATAATTTGTCTTTACTATGTAAACAGCGTGTATGATGACGCTTGTGCAGATGCGTGTACATACACACATATATATAATATCAATGTATACTGAGTCTATGGATTGCATTTCTGTTAAGTAAAAGCACATTCCTCATTTAATGATTCCATTCAGTTCAAGAAGGGAGCTTAAACCTTCCCAGTAGACATCCACAGAATGTCCTAGTTAGTGTCTTGTTTGTTAATTGTTGAACTTTTAAGGCCATGATTTTTGAATTTTCTACTTGGCCTCAACTTCATACTGTGAGTCTAGTAAATAGTGTGACTAAGAGAAGATCTGACAAGGGTCATGATAGTCAGAAAGCGAAATCCACATGAAATTGGAAAAACGCTGTATCCTAGTTGGTGGGGATAAGGCTCATAAGCCGCTATTTTTTGCTCACGGTATCTTTGAAGCCAAGATGCCCTGGTAGTGTTTCTCATGGCTTCTGCAAGAGAGATGATGGAATAAATGGAGTTATTTTTCCTGGTGCCAGGGACTGTCTCAAAGGTGCTGAGCCTATCCTTCTTCTCATGAGCAGCATAACACATGGTTGCTGCACCTCTGCTTTCCTGTCCTGGTGTTAGATGGTAAAAAGCATCTTCTACCTAATTCTTCGTTTCCACGTAGTCTCCTGTGGGTGTATTGGCAATAACAAAGTCTGTGTTTTAGCTGCACTTATGATTCATTAAGACAAACATTTTAGAGAGAGTCCCATGCAGGAGAACCTCCAGAAATTTGAGGTGAGGCACAGTAGGATACTGTATCCTCCAATCTGACATAGTTTTGACCACATTGTTGTGGCAAGCATTGATTCAATTAAATAAAAATATAGCTTTTTTTGCAATAAGATATATCCAGCATTTAGCCTTAAGATCCTTTCATAAGTGATATAATTCAAACTGTGATTCCATTCTCCTTCCTTCCTAATGTTCTGTAGTATTTACAGTGTTGCCTAAAGATGAAGCACTTTGATTAGCTTTCTAAATCTAATGGAAATCACTTGCTGGTAATCACATTTCTTTCTCCACTTATTGCCTTCTTATTAGGAAAATTAATTACTCCAATAGCCCTCTCCCCTCGTAAAGAGACACAGCTATTGTCCAAACACTTTTGTACATCAGGGAGCCAACCGATCATACTGCAAAAGTGTTGGTTTCAAAGATGTTTTTTTACAGTTCAACAAAGCTAATGTGAATTTACCTGCAACTGTAATTTGTTTCAAGCTGATTGTTGAGTGTTTTGTAAACATATTTGATGTGTAATCCCAGAACACCTCTGTAACTGGATCTAAATGCCTAATGTTAACAAAACAGTTTGGGGTTTTCACTAACTGTTCTGAAAGGCTCATGGGTTTTTTTTCTTCTTCCCAATAAATCTGTGACCACTAACATAGAAAAAGAATCATTTTAGCTGTAGATGAAAGAAGTTCAATAATCTTGTATCAGGATGAACTGCTATATAAAGAAATACCAAGTTTTCTAATGAATGTGTTATATTATCGTACCTACATAAAATCAATATCTGTACATCTGTTGGAGACCTGTCTGCGTTCCAATATTTAGCCACCACTGCATGGACACTTGATTGATATGCAGCTAATGCAGTTGCTTTGGCGCTTTTCAATGTACTTCACTTGCTTTTATCCTTTCAGAAATCCACCAAATACTCTTGGTTCTTTTTCTTTGCATTTGTCACTTTGTTCAATGAAGCATGACTAGAAAAAGAAAACGAGTAGATACTATTTTTGTGGTCAGCAAAGCAGCTGCCAGTAGATAAACAGTGTGTGTATGTATGTATGCACACTGTCTGGGAATGTTTCTGTTACAAATGCAGCCACCTACATTAATGATATCCCTAGTCAACATTTTTAAACAAGCACAAATAATATTTGTAAAAAAGAAGTTTAATTTTATTTATTATAGTAATAAACTATTTTATACATTACAGTTGCTTTGGTGTGCTTTTCTATGTGTTGAATATGTGCTTATAAGATCAACAAAGTGGTTTTAAATTACCCTCTAGAACTTCTGGCTAGCAGTTTTGTTGCTGTTGGTTTGTAACTGAAGTGTTATCAGTGGAGCAATGTGATCTTATTGTTCCATTTGTAAACAATTCAGGTTGTTTCCTCAGATTTCTGTCTGCTGTGTATCACTGCAGTTGGGATTTACACTTCCAGGGTCACTGTAAATTGAACTCAGGTGTTCTGTAAAGCGAATATCCTGGCACCCCAGGCAGTGTCCTGCACCATGGACCCCAGTCTGGGCCAGGTATCTGCTAAGCAGGAACGAGATCACCAGAGGACTGCCTCTGACCTGTCTGAAATGGTCGTTCCGTATCCTGAGGGTACATGTGTCTGTAGTTGGTCTGTGTTTTAGACCGTGTTCACTACTGCAAAATCTGAGAACTATTACAAAACTTATGGCGACCACAGTAAGTAAGAGAGAGATCAAAGAAGCTTCTGCTGTCCTGTCATCCGCTGCAGAAGAAAGTGACACTACTATGGACTTACACAAAGACAAACCTCACAGGAGTGAAGCCCCTAGTAGTGTGTCACCTGGCAGTGACACTACTGCAACAGGTGGCAAGGAGTATTATTTTCTTGGCTACCGCAGCAAAGGTATGAATAACCAGAGGTGATGGGAATGGGAGATCCTTTCAGGTCAGAATAGACATATGTGACAGGATCACAGTCAGCAGCCATTCCTGCAGGCCAGGAGCCACTCTGGAAGTTTATACGTTTTAGTCTTCAGGATGTCAGCCTGGCCCCTGTGAGTTTTGCACCCATTTCTGTGGTTCATTCTCCATCCTGTCACCTGTATTAAGACACTACATGGCATTGTGAATCTCATCTTCAAAAGAACAGCAATAAAGCACAAGCTTTCAGACCGCAGAGTTGAAGCAGAACTGTACAGAGCAGCCAAGGAGCACAATGAGGAGCTATTTTTAACACCATTTCTGCATCCTCTGTCATATGTGGTGTGACAGGATCTCTTGTCACTAGGATTGTTTCCCTGGCCAGTGTGAAAATCCAGCTTTCTTTTGCCTAACATTATACAGCGTGCCCTATACTTACCAGAGAAGAGAAAATTACCATAGTGAGGGCATGTACTTTTGATTGGGGTTTTTTTTGAGGTCTCTAGAGGCAGTTGTGCTTGTTTTCTGAACTTTCCATTATTTTCCTTGCTCAGGCATTTCCTGCATTCTTAGCAGCCTCCCTGGCTATGCTGCAAGCTTCAGTGAGTGCAGAGAGGGGTAGCACTGCCTGCATGATGTTCCCCATCAGTTTCCCCCCATCAGCAGCCCCACAGCATTTCAAACCAAAGGTAATTAATTACAGCACTTTTTGCTGAGATTTGTGTGCCAAATTGCAAAGGCTCATGTTCCACATGCTGACCGGTCAGGCCTGGGCACGGCTGGGCAGCAGCAGCCCAAGCAGCTGTGAGCAGCCCCCAGCCCACCTGCACCAGCCCCTGCTCCTCATTCACTGCACCTGGGAGCGCATTCATAGCAGGAACAAATGGTTTCTAGAGCACAGGATGTGTCCTATGGCTCCTGACTTTTCTCAGGAATAGCTGCACAGGTACTGCTGCTTCTGTTTTGTTAAGAGTTAGTGTGCAAAGCGTAGCACCTACAAGATGCCTGAAGGTGCATATCTGGAGGAGAGCTCAGGGTTGGAGCCTGTGCAATGCTGTACAGCCTCCTTGGGGCTGTAAAGGACCCCTTGGTGGTGCTACCAGCTGGCAGAGGGCCCGGGCCCTATGGATCCTTCCTTGCCTCTGTGCTGCTGCCTGTGTGGTAGCTGCTGAGGACATCTGCCAGGCACGTGGTGACTTTACCCGGCTGGGTTTGTGGCCCCAGGGCAGCAGCAAGGACTCCCAGGGCAATCTGCAGTGTGGCAGCTTGTGGGGAGGTGAGTGCTGCCTACACAGTTTTAAATTCTGCATTTGATGATGGAGGTTCTTTAATTGCCCTTTGGTGCATTTTAGTATCTCTGTTAAGGTTGGAAGCACTCTAGCTCTGGTGTTTTTTTGAATTGGAGTAAAGATGACCAGCATAAACTAGCTCTTCTGTGCTATTGAGAACCAGTGGGAGTGAACTGCAGCGAATCTCCCCCCTCTCGCACATATGTACAATAGCAATATGTTTTATTTGCTCCCCCAGCACTAAAGGAACAGCAAAACTGTTTCTGTTCAGTGTGTGACACCAGTGTGTCTGCCTGGTGTGGGATGATGCACAGGACAGCCCACGATAATTTGGGGAGAGCAATGAGCCCAACAGCCACATGCCCCCTCACCTACCGAGAGACGGTCGCTGCTCTCCAACCTGCCCACCCACTGCGGGCACCAAGGCTGGGAAGGCCTTGGCTCATGAGCTGCTGTCTGTGCTTGCCTTGTGCTCCATGGAGGTAGGGTAGTTACTAAGGCTGTGTATCCAACCAGAAAATGCTGGGAAGGATGTGGCGTTGCTAGGGTATTTATTGCTGCCAGTGGTGTGAGGGGTTTAATTGTAACAGGCATACAGCATATAAAAAATATCAGCCAATACAAGTATTTTTCACATAGAACATTGAATTTTTCATACTAATTCACCCCAACTTCAGTGTTGGCATGTGGAAGCTGGTGGGAATAACCTGTCCTGTTCTTGAAAGACAGGATGAGTAAAAACCTGTGAGAGATCCAAAGAAAGCATTTGAGTAACTGAACTCCTGACATCTGTCAGAAGCAGATACGGAGACGCTTGTGCACAGCCGTATCTGCAAAATACATGTGCTCAAGCCTTGTCTTTTTACTTTTTTTTCCTTTCCTTTTCCATTCCTGCTCCCCCTTCCTAATTAAGTTCAAGTCCTCATGTAGCACAGACAAGTTCATATTTAAGCTGCCCCGTGGCACAGGTGTAGGTTTTAAAACAAGCTTAACTTTGGCAGCTTCATCCATCATGACCAACTCCCAAGCTGTCTCCCTAGAATTCCCACATGGTACTGATAGAGGCAGGATTGTCTGAGAAACCTTGAAGAGGTTTGGGGTTTTCTGAGCTTTGTTCACTTGTAGAGATTTCCTTGAAGATGTTTCTGTTCAGACGGGTGAGGAATGAGGTGAAGGTACAGGCTTGGCTGTTAATCCCTACCCGGGGGGAAACACATTTGCCCTGCAAACGTCACTGCAGTTTTGCGTGTGCAAATCTGAGGGGGACGTGCTTTTTTACTGGTATTTCCTTCCACATTCCCAATCTCCCAGCTAATTTTCACAACTCAGGGAGAAAGAAACTGTGCTGGAGTATCTATTACACACACAAATTTTCTATGAAAGGAAGATTATGGTCTCTTCTTCAGCTACCATAATACTTCAGATTATGGCCTCCTCAGGGGCTACCGCTGGGGGGAAACACTGAGCAGCAGTAGCACACTGAGTGCACTATTAAGCCTGGGAGCTACTGTGTGCTCAGCAAAAGGACCAAGACAGCTCAACAAGAAATGGCTCCCTGGAAGCAGCGGCTTACAGTGAGGAGAAATAGATTGCTTTCCAACCTCTACGGCAATATTTTTTGGTGAGTTTTACGGTTAAACAGAAGGTATTTTAGAAGAAGTAATGATAACAGGAAAGTTTGTTGAACTTTCTCAGCTGTGGCGTGAGGATTGGAAAGAAAGCTAAGATAATCCGTACGTAGCCGCAAGTCAAAATAAAGTATTTATTTTGGTTTTCCTTTAGAATGATAACACTGCACATGCAACCATGTGAACCTGGCTAGTGGAAGTGGAGAGACAGAAATACAAACTAAAGCAGTTCAGCTGAAAGCTGAATAGAGAAAAGCATTCTTTAGGAAAGTATAGAGAAACTCTGTGTGAACTACTGCATGAAATTACAATTCTGCCAACATGAATTGTAAATAGCTCTGTAAAATGGGGGTAGGAGCCTCTCAGCAAATAGAGCAGCTGTAGCCAGGCATGCTCAGGGGCTGCAGGCTGACCCCTGTGTAGAGCAGGGAAAGGAGTCTAAGGTCATGGCAGCACATGAAAGCAGTGTATAATGTAGCCAAAGCACGGTGCTGGGTACCTGTCTTAGTGGTTTGAGTCTGCTGCATTTCCTTTGCCCAGGAAAATCAGTTCTGGAGAAATATCTGCATCTCAGGTAAGTATCTAAGGAAAGCCTCAGAAAACAAAGGGCGAGAGGGTGAGTGCAACCCACCTACTACCAAAAGGGTAGACATTAGGGAGGGAGCTGGAAAGGAAAGCACAACACTAGCACAAGAGCAAATGGGACTGACTGCCCAGGAGGCTCCTTTGGCTGGAGGTTATAAAGGGCTCTAGCCCTCTTGAGTCACCATCTGCCTGCTGGAAGGAGCTGTGAGATACTTTATCCTGCCTCAGTTGTCTCTCCCAGTGCCACAGAGTGCCCTTGTGTTACCGCCAGCAGCCTTAAAGCTTTAAATATTTAGCTTGGAAACCTTATTATTACAAAAATGTCATTTTTCTTAAACTGGAAGTTTCCTCAACCAGCATTAAGTAATAGGCACTTCAGAGCCTCCAAGTGCTATAGCATTTTGAATTACTGTCATGCTTTTTAAAGTCTTATGCCTATGTTAGGGCTCATACCCAACTTGCAGCTGTTCATGGTGTCAGTGGTTGTTGGCATAACCATTCAAGGCAAGCAGGACGTCTTCAGAGATTGAAGACCCTTTGTGGGTCTTGTACTTTTACAAGTGATGTTTGGCAGGATTTGATCAGATTGAGGAACTCTGAGAATAAATAACCCGAGTGAAGGGTGCTAAACTCTGGGCAGATGGCACCAGCAGTAGTGTGTGAAGTATGAGTCAAGAGATGTCACAGTTGACAATCTTTGAGCTCAAGACCCACTTGCTCACAGATCCCTGGTGACTTTCTGGTATTGCTGTCTGGAATGCTGGGGGCCCTGGCAGGCAGCAGTGGGGCTGGGCAAGTGCTCGATTGCTCACTAGACAGCCTGGTCTGGAGCTGATGCTTTCCAAGGCAGGACCCAGACCATGCCCAGACTGCGTTTGCAGCATTGTCATGAGAACTGAGCCTGATCAAGGTGTGGCCTTGAGGCAGGATGCCAAGAGCGGGGAGAAGGCAGCTGAGAGGTCGCTGAAGTGGCCTGGAGCAGAGATATGACCAAATGAAAGTTATGCTGAGGTGGTAATTCATGCTGAAATTACAGGCTAATAAAAGTATTACCACAAGAGTAAAGAAACCCATAACTATAAATTAGCAGTAACATCACTTAAAGAACTGTCTCATAAATGCTTATTTTTATCTCTGCATGTGGCTTACTATAAGGTAATCTCCCCACATAACTGAGCCCCCAAAGCAACCTTAACCCTTCCAGCAGCAGTCTGAAAAAAAAAACCAACAGGATCTTATTTTTTCCTTAAGACTTGCCTTTTAATTAATTTACCAACAGTGTAGCTGTTTCTGGTCTGCTAGTATCATTTCCAGTTCTTCTATTTTTGCCACTTAATTTTGGAAACTCAAATGCAGTAGTGCAGGGATGGAAATGCTGTGGTCCATAAAAATTAATTAATTTTGTCAAGAAAGATCTAGAGGGAGTGCCAATACAATTTAAATGTCACAGGTAATAACTGAAGTTATATCTCTGTATTATTTCTTCAGTAAACTTTAATTTTTCAGTGGTTGGCTGATGCACCTGTCTGCAATGATTCACTTCAGCTATCCAACCATATATAAAGCTTTTCTTAAATCCCTGTGGACAGTCAGTGCACTTCTGTTAACTGTAGGCTGACCATTGCTGGGGAAAGCATGGGCCACAGGTAGCTCATTTCATCTTATCTCTTTCTGAAAGCTGCTGGTATGTGGGTACCTAAGGCTATTTACACTTAGACTGAGCTGCCCCAGGTATGACAAAAGGTGGTGCAGGCTAGTTTGTGGGCAAAATTTGCCTGTTACATCCTGAGTTAGCTTAACCTGCTCTCACGCAGACCTTTGTGACTCCCAGCATAAGGAATGAGGAGACTTTTGAGGATCTGCAAGTGTGTTTGATTCCCCTAAAGCTGCCATGTAGTTTTAATCCTGCCATTCTCTGTACTGGGTACAGAGTGCACATGCCTTCTTCCTCCCAGAGTAACAGTTCTGAGGGCTAGCAATGCTGACACTGGCTGGAGGACTCACTCACTTTGCAGAAGCTTGTGGGAACTGCCCTGAACAGAGCGGTGCAGAGGCTGCCTCAAAGTTGAGTCTTGACACTCTTCAGCTCCATCTCTTGTGCAGTGTCTATATAGGTCAGATCCATCAGACACTTTCTTTCCCTTTTCCTGTTCTCCTGGGCATTGGTGGCATCCCTGAAAGCCTCTGAAGCTTGGAGCTGCCAGTGCTTGCCCCCAGGCTGGGGATGTCTGAGCCGAGTTGGTCTCTCCACAGTAAACTCAGGTGTAGATGATTCATGCATGGGCAGCTGGGACTCATCTCATTCTCAGATGCTCTGGCAGTACCTGTGTTGGAGGTGATTGAATGTACATGAAGCAGAAATTTAAAAAAAGTTGTCTTCATCTTTTCTTCCTTTTACTTGCAACTAACAAAGGAACCTCTCCACAAGCAGCGAGTGGTGGAACCACTGGAATTCAGAGCGCATACACAGAACACTCCTGTGCATCCGTGGGGGTCAGCAGAGATGCCCACCAGAGAGGGTTGCTCTCAGGGGTCCCATAATACGAGAAACGATCTATTGTAATGCAGATTTCCCTTTGTTTCTCAAAGGTGTTACAGGCAAGCGATTCTTCACAGGCTTTGCATAGAGCAGTATTTCAGCTGTCCCTGCTGGATTAAAATGTATGCCTTGACTAACAAGTGGCTGTGTGCTGAGAGTGTTATTTTGCAAAGCAATAATGGGCTGCGCTACTCGCAGGAGGGGGAGAACTATAAAGCACAGTGAGAAGCTGTGACAGACCATGCATAGCAATCTCCTTGCTCTTCACAGCTCCCTGAGGACAATCCTGCCAGCAAACCAGAGGAAGGCAAGCCCCCCTTTCAGCAATTGCGAGATGAGAGCGGCTCAAGAGTTAGCAGTGACGAAGGAAATTAAGTGGGTGCGCAAAAGAAAGGACAGGCCCTGCGTTACTGCTGTGACTAATAACAAAATTGCTGCAGGTTTTCACAGTTAAGCTGTTTTTCTTCTGACCTGTGGTAAGCTGGTTACTCCAACTAAGCTGCTTTAAGCCCTCAGATGTGAAAGAGATATGTGAGCAAAGCCTTGCTCACCCACCAATCATTGCAGAATTAAAGAAAGAGCCACTTAGCGTAATCTTACCATCCCCCGTAATAACGATGGCTGGGAGGGCTCTGTTAGCCAAGGAGGGGCTAGGGGAAGGATGTCTCTGTGTGTGTGTGTGTGTACAAGAGACTTGATTACTAGAACTTTGTGGTAGCCATTAAAGCCATATATTAGGTCAGGCTATGCTTGGCAGTCTCTTAGGCAACTTTTCAAAATCACTTCTGTACTGTTTTTGTCAGTAGCCATAATGTGTCTGTCCAGCTCATTTTCAGAGCCACTGCCTTCAGTTTTTCTTTTTTTGGTCCCTGCACTTTTGTGACTTTTGGGGTCTCTTAGCAGTAGAAGTCATTGTCTGCCGTTCCCCTCACAAGAAGTGCTCCCCTTTGGTTCAAAATGACCAATGTCTTACCTTGGCAATTTCTGTCTTTGTCAACTGTTTCCTACATCCCTTAACTAGCTTTTCCTCAGTGTTTGGAATTCTCTCTCTCCTCCTCCCCGTACCTACTTTTTCCTTTCATATGCGGGATGGTTACTTCAGTCTCTTCCAGGTCTCTGCAAACTCATCTCTCTAGACTGTCAGAGAACTTGCTTGGAGGATGGCACTTTGGGCTACCACACAATTACCTCAGGTGCCATCTGACAATGAAGAGTCAATTCTCAGGTCATGCTGAGGAGTGTGTTTCCAAGCTGAAGGCGTAGCTGACCATGCATGTTTGTAGTGCTTCAGGCACAGAGCTGTGTGTCTGACTGAGCATGCCCCATGCTGACAGCTGCTGGATAAGCAGGACTGAGAAGGAACTTTGTGAGTGGGAAGCATCATTTTAACTGTATGCTATTCTTCTCAGAAGCTTCACATGCTGAAGCCTCCCCTTAGCCCATCTATAAAAGGTGTATTCGCTTTTTAAACTCACACCATTAGGGAATGCATGTTCCATGCAGAACACAGCAGGGATAAAAGTGACCGGTCTGCATTGCACCCATCCTGCAGGCTTCCAGTGCACAGTAGTGTTTCTTCGCAACAGTGGAGCACCTACTTTTCTTACATCAAACCACAGCTTTCCAAGTTACAGTTCTCAAGCCAACAGTCCGTTTCAGCTTTATTTATACAAACAGAAAAAGATACAAAATTATAATATATACATATAAAGCACTGAAAAAAAAGAAAACAATTTTAGTTCAGAAATAAGGATACTTTGTATGACCTTCAAGGTCATTTCCATATTGGAGCTGGAAGTTTTGCATGCATACAAATTGGAATCCAATCACTTAGTAGCTCCTCATTTCATGTAATAACAGTAATCAATAAGACTGAAGAACAGACTCATGACTTTTTTGCTCTAATGCTAATTCCACTTATGTACAAAGTCTGAGTAAAGTTTGAGAAAGTTCTTGCCCTTAGCTCAGTGCTACCCCAAAATAGAGGCCAATCTCAGATCCTTTTAGTAAATTCAGAGGCTTAGAGCCATCTACTTTGCAGCTGACAGAATCCCTGAAATCATCTTAAGTCAATCAGGAGGACCGTGTCTCTGGCCAGGCAGCATTCAAGGTAAGTCTTATTTTCAACAGCCCATGGTGTCTCCTAGTAAGGGCTTCCAGAGGAAACCATGGCATTCTCATGGCAGGGGAGGAGGGGGGAATCTTATCATAAAGGGCTGGAGCTTCTGCTTTGAAAGAGCAAGTGATGTGCTTGTCTCCGGATGGACAGAGAGCTGAAGCCTCTGCCCTTACTTCTTCAGGAACAAATGGAGGGTAAAAAGAAGGCTCTTGTAGTTCTGAGCAGCAGATACATCAGAAACACAGGCAATAAACTGAAGCCTGTCTCAGGGACTGAATTTCTTGTTGAAGGGATAAGCTATACCAGGCTTGGCTGAAGCTGCAGGAGTGATGCAGTAGGTCACTAAATGTGCCTCCCAACAGACTGAAATGTCTGCCAGGGGCATGGAACAAGTTTTGACACGTGTCCTTCTGCTTTGGGTGGAGGAAGCTGCTTTTGGAAGAAGTCCCCTCCAAAACTGGTGGCCTTTTACCATGCCTAGGGGGAATATCTAACTTTAGAAAGACTAAAGGTCTTCTAGCTGCTCTTCAACATCAATTTATTCCAGCTAATATGATGTCACTGTATTGGACCATTCTGTTTTCTTCTCAAGGTCTTAAAAAGTTACTCCTAGGGTGTCTTCAGTATTGCAGGAGCTGATTGCTTGGACACCAGAGAATGAAGCAAACTGAACAAATTTACCATTCACCCAGACCTGAGTTATCTCCTTTCATAACAGAGCAATACAAGAGGCAGACTGAACAGTTCCCTTGAAGGTGGGACTTGCCCCATTATAAGGGTAATATTTTATGCTTTAGCTCTAACATAAAGCAGAGAGCACTTAAAGCTGTAAGAGCATATTTGATTAAAAAGAAAAGCTGTTCCTTAAAAAAAGACCTACCTCCCTACTCCCTCTTTCTAAAGAAAGAAATAAAACCAGTCCTAAGATTACCAAAAAAGGGTGTTATTTTAAAGGCAAAATTTTAAATGAAGCCATAAAAAAGAAAAAGCAGGCTTTGCTACAGTCGATAGAAAAGTAGCTTAAGGCAGAACTACTGCAGCCAATGAGAACACAAAAATGTTCTCACTTATATCAGAAAGCAATCAAGAAGAACTGATGAGCATCATGCCCTTTATGGAGTAGTGTAAGTGGAGGGCACAGCCCTCCATGCTCCCAGACAGCAGCTGTTAGAGATTGGGCTTTTTGAATTCTCTAAGGTAGAAGAATTTTTTTCTTCAGTATCTCAAAATAGGCACCAAAACATTAAAACAATTTTCAACATATATAAAATACCTGTTCTGAGATGCGTGCTTCCAATGTACAGAGATGGTGTTTTACAAAAATAACATAACTCAAAATGCTTCATCATTTCTCCCCACCATTACTGTTTCTGGTTCGTTTTCTACACTTGGAATCCAAAATCAACTAAACGAGCTTTATTTTTTTAACACAATGACTGAATTCTTGGTCTGGCACACCCTTCTGTAGATAGGATATGCAGTGTAGAAAAATCATAAACCTGCCTTAAAAATACTTGTTTGCATCATTCCTAAGTCGCAGCATACTTTTGCTCCCATTCAATTCCAACATGAGAATAGCAGTACAGGAACCCGAGAACAGTCAGTGTTGCCCATGGCCAACCTAAAAATAGAAAAGACAGACAATCCTAGTCAGAATAATTAATGATTACTTCAAGTAGAAATACTCTTGGGATGACCAACTTATGACACTTCTAATTAATTTTATTAGCAATTCAGTCTCATAAGGAAGGAGAGCCAACCCACAAAATTTGAAAATGGAAATCTGGATTGTCAAAGCTTCAGGGATGCCTGACCCACTGCCAGCTCCAGTATTTTCCATTTTCAGGGAACTGGACTAGGTTTATTCCGGTCAAATTAAAAAGGTCTGTTTCAATCCTATCGTTTGGAGTGGTTTGTCTATCAAGCAGATTCCCTGAACGAGCCCTGATGCTTTAAGCTGGCTGTGGTGCTTCCCAGGCACAAAGTGATGCACAGCCACAACGAAGGTTATTAAAAATATGAACAAGTCCAGTTACCTGTTCTGCAAAAGGAGTCTGGGGAAACCTCTGATTAGGGCTGTTTTGGATATCCTGCAGCTGGGTGTAAAGCCCAATGTATGCACTCTGCAGCCCACTAACAGCTAATGGGGTCAGAACACAATTGTGTGAGCGCAGAACAGACAGCCCTGTCTGCCCAATTTGCTTGATGCCTAGATTATCTTTTAACTAAAAGACTGACTCCTCCAATATATAAAACCTTTCCTGGAGAAATGACATTTCATTATTATTTCAAATTTTTTTTAGTGAAAGTCACCATCTTTTCACATGAACTTTTCACAGCTAACAGCAGTAAGCAGGAGGTCACAAGTCAAAAGGTCTATTGCTTTCCTGTAGAGTTGTAAATAATATGAAAAACCAGTAATCAACTAAATAATTTTGCTTTCCTTGATCCCTTTCCTGGCACGCCTGTTTCCTTTGTTCATTCTCCTCCTCTCTTTAGAATTTATGAAATTTAGATCTTACATGTTGAAACTTTCAGCATTAGGCCTCAATGTTTTTTGGTGTGTGTTGTCTGTGGGAAGGGGACAGGGAGGAAGGTGTTTGAGGGTTTTTTGGTGGCTTTTTGTTGCTATTGTTGACGTAAGAATTTCAGTAATATGTATGACTGGTTTTCTGCACGCTGTCTTTGAACTAGCAGCACTTGCTTCTGAAAGAAAAGCTTCAGTGCTCCTTCCTGGGGAAAACTCTGGCCTGAAGGAACCTGCTGGCAAAAGTAAGATTCCCGTTTGGCCTGGAGAAGGGATGGAGAGAAGTTGTAACCTCTTTACATGATACTCCAGGAAAAGCTCTTTCCAAAGCTATATTTACAACGTGTTTTGCAGACTGGCTTTGTCCAGGCTGCAAGCTAATTCCAGTCTGGAGACTGTTTAATTGTGCTCACATCTAGCTGAGCCTTAGCTTAACACCATGCCCTCAGTCGGGCTCACAGTCCCAGGCTGGGTCCTGCACTTCCAGGGACCGCATGTGCTAGGACCCTTCCTCTCTGCTCCAAGAGCCCAGGCAGTTCACACTGCATCCTGGAACAGGTTCAGAAAGACTTCGTTTTTTCCCCCTGTGAACAGCTGTGTGTTTGCTTCATGAACCTCCAATTGTTCTGGCCTTGCTTTGTGGTGAAATACAGTCTTGTAACTTGACTGATTTTCATGGAAACATTTACAAATATTAATCCCTTGCCCTCACAATACCCTAAAGTAAAATTATACAATTATTTGTTTCACAAAACAAAATTGCTGAGGTATCTCCAAAGGGATTTTTAACAATGAAATCATCTTTTTTTTATTTCAGTGAAATTAGTCTACAGCAGACTGGGTTTCACCTTCAATAGCAAGCTAAAGCCCAGCTGTGCTTTGTCTCTGCTAAAATTGCACGTGAAAGTATGTCAATAGATGTAATAAAAACATACCTCTTCTGGCAGCAATATTGTGGGGGCTGCTTTATACAGACAGAGCCAGAAAATTAAAAAAGGACCGAGCGTAGAATTGTTCTTCTTTTGTAGGGGCACTTTGGAAATTTGCTAGATACGTGTTTTGCATTTTCAAATACTTTAAAGCTCTGGCACACAGAAAATGTGCCAACAGTAGTCTTTAGTCTGACTTGTTTGCTATCCCCAGCCAGTGTTATTAGAGATCTTGTCAGTATACATAAGTATGCACTGGAAATATTTTCTAGATCTCTTAGATTTATGATAAGATTCCTCCACAGTACCCAGAACCTGGGTTCATAGGGTTCTCAGCCACTATAATCAGGCCTGTGGTAATCCACTTGGAATGCAGGGAGTAACAGTAACAGGTGTCGGAGTGGGATTCAGCACATCATCTCCTCCTGATTTAATGAAGATGAGAAGGAAGGGGGAAGACAGTGACCATACGGGTGAGGGGGAAAAGGGAATTTTTAAAGTTTAATCTTGCTGCAGTTATTCTAGGAGGAGCTGCACAGATCCAAAAGCATTTCTTGCTGCACAGGTGGGAGGTAGCTCCAAGCAGGGGTAAGAGGGCACCTCTGCCTTGCTGGCCCTTCCTTGCCATACTGGAACCACAAGCACTGCTGCTGGGTGGGGGAAATGCATATGGCGCTTCTGCTGCAAGCGAGCGAAGCAAAGGCATCACGTTCTGCTCCAAGGCAACCCCAAACTGGCTCCAGTCCACGCAAGGCAGATTTGCACACCTGAGAAGCAGTCCAAGGACAGCCTGAAGCAAGAAGGAGATATTTAAACAGTTTTCACGCATCTCTTCCATTTTAGGACTGGTTATACAATAAACCCGTTGAAAAGTCTGAAGAACTTGGTCCCCTGAAGGTGATGATGTAGGGAGGACACATGGATCAACGCTAATCCATCAGGGGCACAACTTTAAATTCTGCTTATGGTGTCATCCTTGTATGTGACCTCCATAATCAAAGCAGCATGGTCTGCTCTCTTGCAAGGTAACTTCACAGGAACCTCGTTTCAACAGTTTCTCCTTGCGAACCCTTGTGAACAACCAAACTGTACTGATGGTCTCAGATCCACAGTCCCAAGGACTCCCATTCTGCTCCTACTCTCAGATACCATTCAAGGGGCTGTTCCTTCTGGTGGCTCCCTAGCTTTACCTGCATCCTTACCTGTGCTGTAACACTCTCCAAACTCTGCATGGAAAAGTACCTGCCTGCATTTTAGATCAGTCATACATAAAATGTACTCTTAGAAACATTACTGAGTTCAAATCAAGCACTAGGCTGTTAAGAAATGACTGAATTAAGTTTGTCTATTCAAAAACGTGTCACATACCACCTTAAATCTTACCGTTTCTTGACTGGTTTCAGTAATTTGATTTTAGGCTTGAAGGCCAAGTTTTATAAGATAACTCAGATTTTCATAGTGTTTTGTTTGTGGGAAGATGAATTTGTATTCATTAACACGTGCTTTTTGTAAATACAAGGACAAATTCATACGCTATTTGCAAATCCAGCAATATTTGTGAGCTTTATCTGCGCAAATTTTTTAAAGACAGTTGGATGTCCCTTTTAACAAAGGAATGCTGCGTGAGAATCATGACCAAATTCTCTGCTTATTGAGATGTATGCTGCTCCACAAAACATCAAACTCCTTTGTGAAGAGGATCGCAAATTTTGTGGAGAGATAACAGCAGTACTTTCTCCATCTATCACACAACCTTCTTCCAAAGAAGTCTTCAGTCCCAGCTAGGCATGAAGCACCACTCTTGCCCCACACAGGTGATGGACTATCCAGAGGTCTTGCTGGTTAAAACCACATTTTGATAAGTTACATACTCAGCTTTCAGCCTAATGAAAGGAGACTTATCTTCATTACATGATCAAGACAGAATTAATATGAACTTGCTGCAACAGGAACAGCTTTTGGAGTTACTCTTTCAATTTCCTACCTCTTATTCCAGAATGTTTCTGGATACTTTGCAAACATCTAGAAAAGGTAATGTTTCTGGCACACTCTGGATTTTAATGGGAGTGGGTCAAAACTAAGTTTTCAACTCAAAAGTAACAGCTTGGATCACAGCTCTCAAAAGACCAGTTGTGTCCTTATTACCTCAATTCAAATAATTTGAACCAACATTTAATCATGTATCCACAAGGAAGCTCTTTCAAATTTCCTAATCATCTACAGTGATGAAAAAGAATCACACCAGCAATGCTTTGGGCACACCTAGGTTTCACATTGTCATCAAGACACTAGGAAAGAGTCCTTTGTTCCTACCAACCTGTGAGATGTAAGAGAAAGGGACAGTAGTTGCATTTTGCATTTTCCAAAACTGCCTTAGTGGCTTTTGGACCTTAATGCTATTTTTAGATGTGACTTGGCTGTACAGTACCCGAAAGTCTTCAAGTGCAGAGTAGTTATTAAATCAATTCAAGTCAGGAAAAGTAATCTCTCTGAAAAGCTTGACTTCAGGAGCATACATCTTGCTCGGACTTTGATTTGGAAGTGCCGAAGTTGCTGTAAGACTTAGCACTCAGGAAAATTTATCCTTGAACAAAAGTTCAAATGTGACAAGACACTGAAGCAACTCCTCTGTAGAGTGGAATTAAGGAGACATAATGGTGGGAAGGAGGAAGAACAAGCACCAGTTTGTCAAGCGTAATAAAAAAGCCAAAGCAAACCAGTATTTGAGGCCAAGACATCTCTTACCTACAATTAGTAAAATCCTTAGAGCAGCAGTAAAACTACCACATTTTCCAAAAAAATAACACATTCAAAACCAAAGATCTGTTGAAAGAAACCTATTATTTAGCCCAACATTTGAAGCAGACTATAAGCTCTGCATTTTAAAATTTTAATTTCATGTCTGTCACTTCCAGGTGGACCCCTCCAACCATTACAGCAGGGCATGTCCAACAGCACATATTACAATCACGGTGCAGTCTGATACCCAATTACTCTTTAGGTATTTGGAAAAAAACCCCTTTCCTGTTTTCAACTGTGTTGTAGCAAAGCCATAACCTGAGTAATACCAGGGGTTTTTGCTGCTTTCAGCCTCCACATTGCACATGTAGCAAAGGACAGGCAATAAATTCTCACAGCCCTTGATGTCCCAGCTGGGCATCTCCA